TCATTTCTTAAACAGTCTACATAATAAAGAAAAAAGTTTTCAAAAAAAAAACTAAATGGAGTATTTATGCATATCAATTTGCAAGAGAAAAGCCTTCGGAATTTGGAGATTTGAGAAAGATAGAAGAAATAGCACCACTATGTTTTAGAAGAAAAGCAATAAATGAAATCCATGCTGCTGCACCAAGGAACACTAATAATCCAAACAATAGTCCCTTCACTTCAGAGAGAAAGAAATCTAATAACATATATCCATAAAGCATTATCACTAGCACCACCACTGTCCATGCCACCCTCTGCATCACAAAATTAATAAAATGTTAAAATAAGACACTAAACAAAAGCATGTCCGATGTCTGACACGTGTTAGTATCTGACATGTGTCAGTGTCTGATACTAATACATAAGATTACAGTAGCGTCTGACATGTGTTAGTGTTAAACATCAATACGACGTATCAGACACCAATACTTATGATTACATTAGTGTCTGACACGTGTTAGTGTCTAACACATGTTAGTGTCTGACATATGTTAGTGTCAAACACCAATACATATGATTATTCAGTGTCAGACACCAATACACATGATTACATGTTCAATTTTTCCTAAATTATTATCGACGTCGACATGTCGGTGTTGTGTTAGTATATGTGAGTCGTATGTTTGATGAATAACATCACATACCTCTAAAAGAGGTCCTATTCTGAATGTGCCCATGACCTCTTCTTTAGACACCAAAGTAAGAAGAGGAATAAGTGCAAAAGGAATTTGTATAGCTTGAAGCACATTAAGCCATTCATTCAAAGTATCCAAAGAACCTTCTGAAGTATTAAAAACTATTGCCACAATCATAGTCGGAACAATAGCACAACTTCTAGTAATCAATGCCCTCAGCCATTTTTTTATGTTCAATTTCAAGAATCCCTCAGTTATAAACTGTCCTGCATAAGTACCAGTAATTGTACTACTTTGTCCTGCTGCTAATAAACCAATGCCCCAAATGTAAAGAATTGGAAAAAATCCACCACCATATTTTTCTTCAAGATATTGTCCTGCATTTACTAGTCCTATGTCTTTGGCTTGTTCTGTGCCATAGAACACTCTAGCGAAAACTGTTATTACGAATAGGTTGATTATTAATGTGATTAAAAGTGCAATTGAGGATTCAATTGAGTAGTAGTTTAGAGCCTCTTGAACTTGGCCTTTGTTTCGTATGTCTATGTCTCTTGACTGTACTAACGCGGAATGGAGAAATACATTGTGTGGGGTTATTACGCATCCTACAATTTCCACTGCTTGGCGTAGCGTTTTTGAGCTAACTCTTGGAACCAAAAGACCTACAAGAAAGTATAAATAATTGTATCAATATGAGAAGACGTGTCTGATATGTAATATGTGTCAGTATCCGACATAGACACAACATCAACATTAGTGTTTATGTGTAAGGTTGTATCGTGTCTGATATTTGTGTTTGAGCATTTAATTTAAAGAGTGAGATGAATTTGTACCCATAAGAAGTTCTTCTTCATTTGGCTTTGTATCAAAGAACATCCATGCAAATGAAAAGCCCATAGTTCCAATGAAAACAGCAAAAACACCTTCCAACTTCCTTACACCATAATTCTCCAAAAATAAAAAGAAAAAACTGTTCAACAAAAACAAGAAAAAAAAACAGGATCAAACTTGGTATTAAACAAAGCATAATAATATTGTCAAACTCACATGAAAAAACAAACATGTTTTAACTTACCAATCAAAGGCTGTGATTACAACACCAGCCCAAATGGGAAGAAACCCATGGCTAAGAATCTTAAGAGCAATAGCACTACCAATAACCTCTTGAATATCAGCAGCAATCAAAGCCAACTCAGCTAAAAACCACAAAACTAGCCTAGCCCAATTGGAATACTCCTCCCTACAAAGCTCCGCCAAGTGTCGCCCGGTGGCAACACCGAGCCTCGCCGATAAAAGTTGTATTAAGAGCCCCATGATGGTGGACCACATTAAAAGCCATAGCAACGAGTACCCTGCAATTGCACCGGCTTGTAAGTCTCCTTCCAAGTTTCCCGGATCCAAAAATGCCACGCTCATCAGAAGCCCTGGCCCCGTGAAGAGCCAGAGCTTCTTCCATGAGAAAGGTGGCACCACCGTTGATCCGTTGATATTTCCATTCGACTCCAAGTCGAAAATATGAATTTTGTCCTTCGCCGCGTAGACACAGTCTTCTCTATCAACACCTTCCAACGATATTGATAGAGATGACTGCTGCGGCAAGGACAATGGTATTGTCTCACATTCTTCTAATTGTAGCAACCTATTTTCTTCTCCTTCTGCTTCAAATTCTTGTTTTTTATGTTGTTGTGATTGAATTTCCATGTTTCATGTGGTTGAAAAACCATCTGTTGTTGAAATGTTGTTTGAGATATTGATTCTTTTCTCTTAACTTGTTTAGATTTTCTTTACCTGAGAGAAGACCATGGAGAAAATTTAGTGGAATTGTTATGGCTGCGCAAGGGATTGATATCAAGAATAATGCATGTAAACCTCATGTTGTATTTGTGGTTTTTTTCTTTCAAAGATGCTATGTATTGGATATTGTAAATCAGCTAATTTTAGTGCAAGAGGATTTAGATTAACTACAGTCGCGGGATTTAAGTTAATCTCTACCATTCCAATAATAAAACATGTTATACTCTTCTTTCTTTTTTTCTTCTTGTCATTTATGAAAGCTAAGCACTTTTTAAATTACTTTAATTCCTTCTCTTGTTGGAATATTTTATTTGGTTTTAAATATTATTATGTGGCATATGTTTTTAGTTAATTTGTTAATTATTTAGTAATTATGAGACTTAATTAACTCAGGATCAAATTAAATTATAAGGCTGATTAAGTTTTTAATTAAATTAAATAATTAATTAAATATTTAATCAACTAAGGATAACTCCTTTTGAAATAATAAAAAATTTAATTGACCCTCATATATCATATATAGTCTATAGTCAATATATTAGTTTTTTTCTTCACTCTCTTTTAAAAATCCATAATATAAAATTCTAATTAAATTTTTTTATACATGCTTCTGTTTTTTTGTCTTTCTTTTTTGGATTATGATTTTTTAAACTATATTAATGGTAGTAAGATTTATATTTAGAAAAAATATTTTTTTTTATGAATGACAAATTATTAATGGTTAATTGTTTATAAAATTCACACCAACATTGAACCTTCAATTTTTTTTAGTCCTTAGATTAACCATTTTAAATTAGTTGAACTACCATTCCCACTCCAAAAATATTTGTGACATGTGACTTTTTAGTGATTTTTTTTCTGAAATTGAAAAGATTTAAAATCAATTTTTTTAATTTTATCATGGTTTTTATTTTTTTGGTATTTAAGCACTTGTTACTACCATTGCCAAATTAATTCGTGTAGCTTACTTCTGCAAAAAGGTAAACACCTATTTCTCGATTTGCTAGAGAAAATCCCACGCTATATCCCCTGTTCAGAAACTACAGTAACAAGCACAGATAACTTCTATAGCACATTGCACCAACACCACTATCAAATCTTCAAAAGATTATCTTTAACGAATTCTTTTTCTTTTTCTGCCCTATAGCGTAAACAAATATCCTAAAATAAATATATTTTCAGTGCGTATTTCTTTTAAGTTAAACTTACATAAAAAACGGAATGTATTTCCAAAAGTTCCCGAAAATATATTTGCAGTTCCGATTTCTAATAAACAATAACATAAATCTTCACTGACTTTCTTTGCTTCCTTCTTAAAATTCACAATTGTCTCGTAAGTATGTTAACTTTGAGTTGTGGCTGTATTGTGTCCACGCCTTAAGATTCCATAAATAAAAGTTCCTGACGCATCTGTCCCGTGACGATGAATGTGTGGTGCCAAATATGAACATCTTAAGGTAGTGAATTATTAGCAATGTAATTGTTTATTAGAAATCGAAAATATATTTTTTGGAATTATCGGAAATAAATTTTGTCATAAAATAGAGTGAATCTCAAAAAATAAATGAATTATGTGTGTGTAGGTGCATACCGAAAATATATTTCCAGTTTTTAGGAGTATTTTTGAAGTTCGGCATGGTTCACTTTTCATAGGTGGAAAAAGAAATCCACTTACCTTTGAGTCTCTTGAAAGACTGGCTCGTGCCTCTTGCCGTGAGAGACCAGTGTTAGCCATTTAATTCATTGCTTCTCTTCAATAATTTTATGCACCTTTCCCACCACATCATGGCATGCACACCAGCTATCTCCACTAGTGTATCACTATGCAAATTCTGACAACAAACCACTGTATTACCCCTTTCCTCAACATCAATGGTGTTGCATCAGCAAAAGATTCACACAAAATTATGAGAGAAGATGCAGTGAATTGGAAAAATATCCCATGGGGACAATACACAATAACACCCCATTATGCTTCTTAATCAAGCACATAAAACTGATCTCTCACCATAGACAGTGCCTTAAAGTCGTCTGTGTCCTAAATCTTGAAACATCAAAAGCAAGCACAACATTGTACAAATCAGGTTGACAGTTCTACAAACCCTTACAAGATAGCTCTGATGATAAAATTTAATATTCTAGTTCTACAAGACAACATCACAGTTTTAATGTCACATTCGAGTTCTTTCTAATTCTTTCCATGTCCTAGTAACATAACCAACAAAGCCAGCTTCTGTATTCCGAAGCCCATCTTATTACTTTGCTCAGTGCCAAAATTTCCACTCACAATGCCCCACAGTAAGTAGTAACACAAATTTTTATTATATAGCCTTATTACACTTAAATCACAGGGTCACTTTTTATTATAGTTTAGTGACAATTAGACTACTGGTCACTACAAAATCTCAACACAACAGTTATATTACAAGATCAAAACACGTGAGATAGGAAAAGCAAATTTAGTTCTAAAGCCATGCAAATCCAACATCAAGTGTTAAGTGTTTGATTTCAAGCACTTCACCTTGGAAATTCAAATGATATAATCAGACCACTCAGAGATAAAGGAAGTATGGTCCATGGATTCACCAGGCACATCCTCAAGCTTAGATGGCTTCTCTTTACCACCAACCAATCTCGCCGGGTTCCCAACAGCAGTAGTCCGTGGCGGCACATCAATCAAAACAACAGACCCAGCACCTATCTTAGCACCTTCCCCAATCTTAACATTGCCCAAAATAGTAGCACCAGCACCAATGAGCACCCCATCACCAATCTTGGGATGCCTATCCCCACCAGCCTTTCCAGTCCCACCCAATGTCACATGATGCAAAATCGACACGTTGTTTCCAATCACCGCAGTCTCGCCCACCACCACACCCGTGGCATGGTCAAACAAAACTCCTTTCCCAATTCTTGCTGCCGGGTGGATATCCACTGCAAACACATCGGCAACTCGAGAATGTAGCGCCAACGCTAACGGACGCCGAGCCTGCCTCCACAATAAGTGAGACACACGGTGCGCCTGAAACAATGACAAACACTCAATCACATACAATTCATGGAAGAAAAAAAATGCCCATGTTGAAATCGAAGAATCAGGGTTAGTCAGAAAACAGAAAAACCTGAAATTTAAGTATCAAACATGTAATCATCAAATTAGTCCCTCAGTTACTTTCAAAAAAAAATTACTTTGAAAGCATTTAAAACGAAACCCCTAAATTGAAGAAATTAGGGTTTAGTTAAGAATGAAAAAAACCCTAAAATTGAAGAATAAAAGGAACCTGGAAGAAAAAAGACGTGCCTAGGTTGAAATTGAAGATATAGGGTTAGTCAAAAAGCAGAATTGTGAAATTTAAGTATCAAGGCTCAACTGGTTTGAACTAGTTTTTTTTAATGGCAAATTGTTAACGTATACCCTTGTCAAGAATTGAACCCTAGACCTCCAACTCCTTTTTAATTCTTAACTAAGTTAGTTGAGCTACCCCTTCCATCCATGGTTTTAAATTGCGGTTGCGGGTGATGCGATTGTAGCAATTGCAATTGCTCTGATGCGTGTTGCGGCCATTGTGGCGTGAATTTTAATTAGGAGGTGTTTGAAATATACCGTTAAAAAAACACTTGATGTTAAGATTTTTTACAAAGTACATTGAATTTTTGGGTCCTGAAATTTTGAGTTTTGACGAAAATACTTGAAGAAACATGAGCCAAATTATCTGATGTGAGTTATAATGGCAGTAAGAGGTAAGGTTTTAATTCACACTGCAATGTCGGCGGATGTGGTTGCAGAGGCTACCACATCAGCAACATTGCAGCTGTAATTGCGGTTGCATGCAATTTAAAACTATCCACCCACTGGTTTGAACTAGTTGAACTAAGAGTTAGGAGCTGGAGGTCCAGGATTCAATCCCACTAAGTTTAACACTAAATACTAAACAATTGTCATTAAGAAAAAAGGTAGGTTAAAAAAATGAAAACCTACACTTTGAAGAATCAGGATTTAGAAACACAGAAAACCCTGAAATTTAAGAATTAGGATTTTGATTTAAAAAATGAAAACTAACAAACCTTCAATTTAGTCTCTAAACTATCAGCATATCAAATAACAAACACATAACAAATCATCAAATTAGTCTCTCAATTACTTCAAAAATATGATTTTTAAAGCAATTAAAACGAAACCCCTAAATTGAAGAATTAGGGTTTAGTCCTAACCTGGCAAGCAAGGAATCCTTTGTAATTGAGCAAACAGTGAGAGTAAGAGATACACGCAGGGTCCCGTTCCCGGTAAGCACGAAGATCAGCCACAGCCGCCAAACTCAGCGACGGGTCAGTAGCAAAAGCATTGAGAAACAAATCATACAGAAGCGTCGAAAGAAGCGTCGACGAACAAAGCTTATTCCCTAGATGAAACGACAGCGACCGTTCAAGCGAGGAGTGGGAGAGAATCGTCGAGTATAGATAACTCGCCAGCGCCGGCTCCGACTCGGCGTCACGGCGAGCTTCGGCTTTGATTTGGGACCATAGCCAAACTTCGTCCTCGAAGGCAACGATAGGGGAGGAGTTGTTGGTTGCCGTTGGTGGGGAGGTGTAGCGGATGTCGCCGGTCGGCATTGAGCGGCGGAGGGTGGTGGTTTGCGGTGGCGTGAGTTTTGATATGGGATTTGGGAAATTTGAACGGTGTGGTGAAAGGGTTAGTGTGAGAGTGATTCGGTTGTTATATGTGGAATTTGCATGTAAGTTGCATGTGGTTTGCAACATTTGTTAAAGTGGAATCTTTTTTTGTATTATTATTATTTGTGAGGTGGTTTTATGTGAAAATTTTATTGGATGTGTGGGAATGGGAAGTGGCATTTTGGATATGCTTTTTATGTGGATATTATAAGTTCTATAAGGAAACAAAAAAATTTGTTTACCTAGATTCTCACTAGTTTGAAATTGAAAATAAAAAATTGTTTAGCTACATTCTCACTAGTTATTTGTTGGTTTAATGTAGGGATGATAACACGGGTTGTCTATCGGGTCGGCTCACGTATTTGGTAAAAAAAATAGTGGATTGAATTAAGATTTAATATAAAAAATTGAAAATAAAAATTATTTAGCTACATTCTCACATAATTAATTTTAAAATATTATTTAATATAATTAATAAATTGAATATTATTTATTAAATCATTATTAATTGCCACATGTCAATATATAATTGGACAATCAATATTGAGAAATTAATTTTTTGGTATTAGTGGGTTTCGAATCCATGCTTTTAAGGAAAATGACAATACCTTTTGCCATCCGAACCACTTTACAATCATGATATTTTAATACATCAACTTATATATAACATTAAAATATGACATCACTATACATCCTCCACATATAATCTACTTCAGGATGTGACAAAAGAAGCTTACGAATCAAAGGAAGCTTCGCCCAAAAACCAGTTATTTCAGCATCAAGAAGAACCATATTGCAAAACACTTCAATACCATTTAAACGATAATAATCAATCTTGTTCTTAATAGACTTCAACAAGTAATTATCACCCACTGGATTCTCACACGGTTTTTGCGATGACCTAGTTACCAAAAGCACACAAGGCTACCCGGGTCTAACGAAATTCAGAAAATCAGGGTTTTCAATAAGCTATTTTGATCTCTGCTTATCCCAATTCGAAATCTTCGGTCCTAAGCAATAAGCTTTCTCGGAGTTGGGTTTTGTCTTTTTCTTATTCCTCTTCATAGACCAATATTGTGTTGATATCAAATGCTTTGTAATTGTTTGTGGAAATGTATGAACAAGAGGAAGAAGACGAAGACACTGGTGTTGAATGAATCTCAATGAGACTGCAATGAGATTCAAGTAGTTTACAAGAGATGAATCTGTTGTGAATGTCGATGAAATCTTACTCCGACACGTAGGACTACAATGGTGAGGAGAAGACAGAGGATTGTAACCTTACAATGTCCAAGAAATCTATGGAATTTTCTATCCCTTTGAGCTCCCAAAAGATTGTCTAACATTTTTGTTGTCATTGATGTTGTTTTTGGTGAAAGGGGAGTGAATGAATGGAAAATCAATCCAGAAAGGTGATATAATTAGAGTTGGTGACAAACATGATTATTGCAGAAGCGTGTTTGTTTGTTTATGATGAATGAAGAGGTAACAAAAGTAGTCAAAGGTATTATTAAACCTTTATGTGATGTAAACTCAGTTTAATGTTATATATAAATTGATGTATTAAAATATCGTAATTGTAATGTAGTTTGGATGACAAAAGGCATTGTCATTTTCTTTAAGAGTATGGGTTTGAAACCCACTGCTAGCAAAAAAAATTATTTGTTCAAAAATGTGTGATGTGGCGCCAAATGGAATTGCCACGTCACTGTCATCTATAGAAGTTTGATAGGGGATCAACAAAAATTCAACAAATTCAATAGAGGGACTAAATATCTGGGTTTTTTTTTTAAAGAGGAACTACAAAATTAGAAAAATATGAGATCAATGTATGTTTTCACATGTTCCATTAGTATCATTTATTACTTTTTGTAGAATACTGTACCAAGCTGATTTTTCTCCACAAATTTTTCACATGTTCCATTAATATCTCATCAATTTTTATTGTGGTATTTGTTATAATAATTAAGATTATTATTATATTTGAAATATCTATCTTAATAGTCAAACTTAGAATAGTAATGAAAAATTATTGATGATGTATAATTTGTAAAAGATAGAATAGTAATATCAATTATTTACTTAGTATAATATTAATATTTCTACTAGTATAAATACCCCATTTGGTAAATGTAAATGTACACACCAAGTTTTCTTTAAGTAAAAACAAGTTATACTCTCCCACATTTCCATCATATATCTCTCTTAAGTTATATATATCACATAGTGGTAATATAGTTCAATTAGGTTAAGTTTATAAATATTATTATAGTTTAATTCAAATATTTGACTCTTCTCAACACGTTATCAGCACGATCGTTTCTATCAGAAGTTTTTACTACACTAAGTATATATTCTATACTTATCTCGTTAATCTTATTATTATTGTTATTATTATTATTTGTCCCGATTATAGAAAACGGGCAACTTGTCAAGTGCTCTATAATAAGTGTAGTTATTCTTATTATAAAATTTTGTGTGGAGGTTTTAAACCCCATAGCTATTACTAACTTTTATATTTATGCAATTACTAACTTTTATACTTAATTGAAGTCTAAGACTCCATATACAATTACTAACATTTATATTTATGCAATTACTAACTTTTATAATTAATAGAAGTTTGAGACTCCATATGCAATTACTAATATTTATATTTATGCAATTACTAACTTTTATATTTAATGGAAGTACGAGACTCCGTATGCAATTACTAACATTTATATTTATACAATTGTTAAATTTTATATTTAATGGAAGTCTGAGACTTCATATACAATTACTAACCTTTATATTTAGTGGAGGTTTTGTCATACCGCAATTTTTTACCTAAGATCACATCTTCATTTGCATTTTCTTTACATACATCAAGGTCATATGGTCGGTTCCGAACTTCTCACCTTCGAGCATTGCATGTGCAGAGGTTATCGAGTGTTGTGAACATTTTATCTTATGCATGACTAACTTCTAACCAAGCACGAAGTGTATATTTTTTGTTTCTTTGATTTCATGTGCAGAAACGGGCTTGAATCAAGAGCATCAGGTGTCACACCTCGATTAGGGTTTTGAGTCTCTCAAGCCAGAAGTAAAATTTATCATTGATTCTAGAAGACTGATTCATCAAGGCGCAACTTCTAATCTCAGGCCATAGTGTCTCGAACATCGTTCAGGCTTATTTTGATCACGGATGTCTCAAGTGTGATATCTTATTTCGGGGAACTTTCAGATAATCGTGTGTTTATTTGCATGCTCTGTTCGACAATTGGTCTCAAGCTTATCCAAAACTTCCTCAAATAACACTCAAGATTTCATCATTACTGGTTCACATGTGCATCAATGTGTCTTGGAATGCAAGAAAAGATCAGGCTATGTGAGACGATTTAAAGCACTTCGACCAAAAGTCAACTTTTGTAAGATCGAGTTCAAACTATCATAACTTCTTCATTTTTCAATATTTTTGAGCGGTTATTTTTGCGTATGACTCTCCTTGACGTCACCTCCAACTTCTCTTTATAAGTCAAGAGTTGATTATGTGCGAAAGATCATCAGAAATTCGAATATTTTAGAGGTCGCTTCGTGAGCTTTGACCTAATTTCAAGTCTTTGTTGCCTGACTTCCAAGGATCGTAACTTCTTCAATATTCAACATTTTGGAACGTTTCTTTTTGCATTTGTGTCGTAAGCAATGTCATCTACAAGTTCTCTTCACAGATCAAAAGAAAATTGTGCTTAGAAGACCTTGAAAGTTATTAAATCGTTATAGGACATTTCTTGACTCAGAATTGTTCTCAACCTTTAATTTAAATTCATGCCATAATTGTTTTCTCTAAGATGTTAATTCTTATGTTGATATCGTTCATGGTACAAAATGTTGAGTCTGAGGGTATTTGATTGCTTTGTTATTTATGTTTGAAGCATTGGTGATTATCGGATTAGAGTGGAGTTTTAACCAATTTTCTTAAAAACTTTGTTTGTTCCTTCATGTTGATTATTTTGAACCATATATCATCATCATCTCAAATTCAAGGTTCTTTTTTGAAAATGGTTTGCCTCGGATATTTCGTATCCAAAAGAATTCATTCAAAAATTCAAGGATGAAATTCTAATCCAATGTTCACCATTCAAGTTTGATTCAATTTCATCCAAATTACAAAGGAGTAATTTCAAGACATTCAAAAGATTGATTACAAGTTGCAAAAAAAGATAAATCTTAAACCCACAAAGCTCCTAAGACAAAGCTTTGCTTCATGATGCATCAAACTTGTCCAAAATCTGTTCACAACAGTCTATCAACCTTGTTGTCCACAAATAATGCCTTGTTCTTGTCCAAGCTGCATAAAACTTGCATAATAATGCCAAACCATAGCCCTGCTTCCCTGTACTAAAACCAGGCCATAAACAGTCTGAAAAACCTGTCAAAATAGCACAGAATTAGCAAAGAAAAAGCTACATGAGAAAGCTCAAAAAAACAGTTAACTAATTATGTTCAAATCCCATCTAATTCTCCCCCCAGTTTCTTATTTTCATTCACTATAAATACACAAAAATTAGAGGGGGGAAGGACACAAGATTACACAAAAATTCCAAAAGAAAAGAACATACAGGAAAATTGTTAACAGAATCTCCATCTTTAACCTTCACACATTTTTTTCAATAATTCTGCTCAAAGTCCTCCAAATCCTTCTCGACCGCACCTGTAACCTAGCTTAATTCATCCTTTTCATCAGCATCCTTTTCAAACATAACAAAATAGAAGTCGCTTCCATCAATTTCACAAACACCGACATCACAACTAAGCAGTTTCATAACGACACAACATCAAGAAACAACACCATCTCACTTTCATAAACTTTTAAATATTCACCATTAACATCTCTTTACCTTCGTGGAAAGAAAGAAAAATATCACATCATCTCATCACCACAAATCATCCAAATAAACTCACAAATCAATTTTGAATAACATAAACATAAACCCAGCAAAGCATTGAATTCAGGAAAGAATGAGGTTGTCGTCAAACCTGCGTATGAAGCTCTATCTACCTCGTGAGCATTAACAAGTCGTCGCCAGTACTGTTCAGACATACTACACATCCACACGGAGCCGCTTCCCTCCATTCTCAACAGGAACCCATGCAGAAACCGCATGCACTCCGCCAATAGCTGCTGCAAACCGCATCTGCTCAAAGTATCATCGGCTGCCTAGTCCCAGCAGTACCACTGTTGCACACGCATATCCAAACTGCCATTCAAAGCACTCCGACGCAAGCTCATATCTGGAGACCCCTGCATCCGCACTATGACCGGTCCATCCAAAATGGTCCCCTTCTTCGAAATCCGTAGAGGTTTGTTTTCTTGTTTTGTTATGAGATTCTCTTTAAAGGGATGAAAAGAGTGGGAAAGGTTAACGGAATTGATGACGAGAAATCGGTTTGAGCGAGAGAATTTTTAGTGTGAATTAGAAAACAGGGGTGACGAACAAGAAACAAATGAAGGAGATGATGAGCTAAGAGCGTGAGACATTGAATTTGAAAAGAGGCGCTTCTCTTATGTCTAGGGTTCTGTTAACCCGTTTAGTTATTGAAGAGGGTTGGATTTGGGTCTCACCTGACCCGACCCGGTTCAGCCCATAGTTGTATGTTCTTTATTTCAGATTTTGTTTTATATATATTGGGCTTATCACACGTCCCCACTAGCCGTCACACACCAAAGGGCCCATTCCTTTTTTAATTGTTTTTGTTGTCTTTTCTTGTTTTGTTTATATATAAAATTAAAGTCAAAAAGATTTTATTCAGTCCTCTAACTTATTTAGGACTTTGAGTTTATAAAAAAAACATAAAAAATATTTTTTTAGAGGTATGTTATGACTTTCTCTCAACATTAAAAACCATAAAAATATTTTATTTTTTATTAGGCTTGTTTATTCATGATATTTTGTTTCTCTTTAATCTTCTATGATAAGTTTGGTTGACATAATTTCTTGCCATGTCTTTGTGTTATTCCCTTAATGAGTTTGCCTTATTGTTTTAACGTCATAATGTCTTGTGATTGGTTTTAGATTCATAATTTGATGTATTTATGAGTGAATATGTCTTGATGTCATGTGTTGTACCACACAATTTTCCCTCTCATTTCTCATTATACATTCATCACAAGATCTTCAATGGCTCAAGCTTGCACAAGTATGGACTAGGTCAAGACATCTCTTCAACATTAATGCCTCAAATTAGGGTTTGAGTTTTCACAAGGACAATTGGACTTTTAATGCATCATAGGACTTTAATGGATCATTATGGACCTTCAATATTTCTCATGTCAAGTTTCAAGTCTTGCAGTTCAAGTTTGCTCAGTCAATTGATCAGATTGCCTAAAATCAACTGTATTGGGCAAAAAGTCAATTGTGGCCAACTTACTGTCAAATTTCAATATTTTTGACCCATATCAACATTTTGAACTCATATATATCAATTGATTAAGTTTGGATCACAATTCCCCAAGAAAATTTATAAAATCACCAAAAGGGTAAAATGGTCAAAATTAGGGTTTTGACTGAGAAGGCTTTATTTTTTACTTTTAACCTAATACATGACTTATTGGTTTGAAACATGATATCAAGTATTAAAATGCATCATCTTGACATAATTGCATGATTCAATTCATTTCCCAAGATCATTGGATTGATAGATGAAATTCACTCAACTAATGAAAAGTCAATTGTATACTGTAAAGTCAAACTTTGACTTTTTGATCAAAATTAAGTTTCAAAGATCAAATTTCATCAAGACATACAAAAATATGAAACTTGATCATCAAGAAATCAAGAAAGTAAAAATTCATTTTGAAAAGTCAAAATTCCCAAGACTTAGAAAATTTTCTAAGTGTTTTAAGTCTTTTTTTCTTGACTTCATGCCAATTTTTAATCATGATGCAAGATGATTCAAGGAAAACTTTCAACATAAAATGTTTAGATCTTGGTGAATTCTACGAACTTGTATTAGAGGGTTCATGTCCAAAAAATGCTTATATCTTGAGTTACAAGGCCATAAAGTCATGAACTTTTTCTTAAAACACCTAGTGAAATTTTGAGTGTTTTAGGCAGATTTTTGGTACCAACTTCATGATAATGTTTCACATAGTTTAAATTGGATTCTTAAAAAATGTCCAACATGAAGTTTGTAGAGGATGTTACAAGATTTCTAAAAAGTCTAAGAACTCATTGAGATCATGCTTGAGCTGAGAGAATCGAAGAGATGAAGTTAGGGTTTCAAACTTGAATTATAAGTCATTTTGTGATGAACAAGAATTCAAATCTCAAGCCCGTGCTGCATAATCTTTGCTTCGCATGCCTAAAACTTGTATTTCACTCCATAATTAATGGTTTATACAACTGATAGAGTCATTGTCCAAGCATTTGAGCTCTTATCCAATGTATCATTCCATTTTTGGAAGAAAGTAACATATCCATTCTTGAAAAGTGACTTTAATCACAAAGTCAACTTGTCTTGAGCCTCTAACTTGTTGTTATGATCACACTCAACTCCTATAAGTCAGAACAAATATATTTAAAGTGATAAATCACTTTAGATAGCTTGGTACAAACATTGGAAACATGTTCTTCATGCTTGCTTCAAAAACAAGCAAGATAGCCATAACACGTGATTTCAAAATCTGAGTTGTTTCAAGTCTCCAAACTTTATCCTTGTAAATAGAGCCTTCATATGCAAACAAAAACACGATATTAGAAGCCCTTAAGCACTCTCAAACTCCCTCAAGCCATAAATTGCACAAAACCTCCATTTTTGTGTCATTCTGACTTTGAACTTCAATATTCAAAACCACTCATGCGTTTCTTGGCTTAATCCTTCCAAAAGCTTCCTAACATCATACACAAATCATCCCAATACCTATTTGCAAACTGTAACACCATTTACACCATCCTCCATTTTTAAAGACAGAGTTTTGCATCTTGACTTCTCCAGCTTGATTCTGTCGTACCCTAAATTTTCCTTACCTCTACGATCATTATTTTCAAGATTAAAATAGAAGAGAAATGTTTAATTAAGGATGGTCCAACAATATCGGATGGCCCATTCTTAAATCCAAGTCAACCAGGGGGTGCATTTTAATTCATGGGAATAGGACTTTCTAGATCAGTAAGACCCATATGCCCATAAACCCATTCGCAAAGCATGTTGGCCAATGGCCCATGAGATCCGAATGTGGAAAACTATTTCAATAATAATAATTAAGTTCTTAACTAAACCTGTTTAAGTATTATTGTTGTCAGTAAAAAAAGAAGGGGTGAAAATACAATTTGAAAGCCTACTTTAGTTTGGCCCATTTCCATTTTTGCTGCTAAATAGCAAAGTGGGGGTATGATTAGACATTGCAGGCCCATTGGGGTTTTTTAAAATCAGTCCATTTGTCATTTTTGTTGCTGATTTATTCTAGAAAATTATTGTAAAACGTTTGTTGTTATTATTATTTTTCTAAGAAAATTCTTCTTTACAACTTGTTAAAAGAAATTTATTTCATTTATTTCTAAAATAGGGTAAACTGTTTTATTAAATATTTAAAATTTATTTGTTTTTTTTTTAATTTTTTACAAACTACAGGCCCACCAAGTTTCTAGCCCATTTGTCAGCTTTTTATTATTGTTCTTATAAAAGGAAAAAACGGTATTAGTTAGACTTTTTTTGTTATTATTAAAGCCTTTTATAATCACTTTGCTGTTTATTATTAAAAGATTGTTAAAATATTTTATCAGACTTTTTTATAATAAAGAGTTTTTTGGAGAAAAAAGTTTTGTTGTACAAGGCCTATTAGGCCTAGTACATACCAAAAATAGTGATGGTTGTAAATAATAAAAAAGGTCTTGTTGTTTGCAATAAAATACTGGGTTGAAATTGTGTTGGGCCCAAAAATCTATTTACGTAACAAAGTTGGGCAGTAAATAAAATATATAACGCAAGGCCCAAAAGAGTGCAAACCAGTATTGTATCAATCATAACAAAAAATAGGCACGTTTGTCGTTTGGACTAACGGTTACTGTATAGATCAAGCTGGATCAATTTCAATCTAAAATCCAGAATCATTACAAAAGCCCAGAATATCTTATTGCCAAAACGAATCTAAAAATTATACAGAACAAATGTTTAGTACAAATCAAAATCTCAGAAAAATCAATTACAAATAAATCAAATTAATTACAAAAATTATAATCCCTAAATTTGTTCTAAAAACCCTAAATCTAAGATAAGCTAATTCGTAACAGTAAACCTTAATCAAGCCCTATAAATAGTGAACAGAAATACAGTGAGGGGGGGGGGGGGGGGACTGAATCGCGAGAAAAGAATTTGAAAGAAAAACAAATCGAAGAACGAAATTTGAAGCTCAATTACAGAAGAAAGAAAGGGAAGTACAGATTCGAAGAACTTAAGGGAGGAATAAATTGCAAGAAGGAGGCTATTAGCGAAGAACTAATACTGATTTTGTTGAAGAAGGGAGAAGACGGTTAGGGTTTCAACATCTGAAATCTTAACCGCCGATGACAGTTAATCGTTCCAGCCTTGCGCCACCATCGGCCACCACCGGAAACTTGCGAACAAGAGAAACCAAGGGAGATCAGAATCGCACTGATCAGAAGCAAAAGTCAGAGAAAACGAAATTGCACGAAAGGGGTAAAAGCACTTAGTTTATGTTTATTGTTTTTCTTCTATAATTATGTGTGGATAAAGGATAGGGGGGAGGAGTTTCGGGTTGCGCCGCCGCAATGGTATTGGGATTAGGGTTAGAGAAAGGGGGGTACTAGTTTGGGAGAGAGAACGAGGAAGAAGCTGTAAAAATGAAAATGAAATAAAAAATGTAATAGGAAAGCTAATATGATGTTATCATTATGTACTCGCGTGCTTACTGCAATTAACATGCACCTTCGCATCCCATCCGTTGGATCATCAGTGGACGGCCGTGAGGCCAAGTCCACTGTAACACCCTTGTACCTTCACACACTCAATCTATCAGGACCCTTGCTAACTGCGCTTGGGCCTAGCCCAATTCAGTTTCATACCCCCCCCCCCCCCCTTAGTCGTTTTACTAAATCAATAGACAATTTGCACCCC